CAAGAGCCAACAGACCGATCATCTCAAAAATATTCATTACAAAATCTAACGGCACATGTTTCTCCACGGCATCCCACTTTACTATTCTTTAATTTCCCAGTTTAAAAAAAAGTTCCTTCCCTTAAATTCTACAGTAAGCCAATCCTTTTACAGAAAGCATGCGACCGAGCAAGCTAGCTGACAAATTGTAACCTACAACTCGTAGTTTATTGACGCTTCGATCAGAATCTGTAGAGTCCTCTCATTCGTTATCATAACATCTCCATCCAGAAGGAATAGGAATTCGGTCTCAAATCGTGATGCAAACGTTCTGTAAAAGTCAATCGTTACCATTTAGCCATCGTCCCAAATACAATTAACTCCAATGTAAACGTATTATTGTACAAAAGGACACCCACAAAGCATCCTGCCTTGCTTCTCTGTCGCCAATCTCCGAAACACCATTTATCACCTTTTTGGAGTAGTACTCGTCACCGTGCTTGGATAAGAAATTCATCACCTATAAAAAATCATTTTCTGCTTTTTTTTTGGACTGATCGATACCAAATTCATATTTATTGATAATGACCGTCTTAATGGTTAGAGGTTGTGAGTTGTAAATGTAGAGCACTATCTTCTTCTTCGGGTAGTCCAAGCTTGCAAATGCTTCGAGCACCTAAATATGTTGAAATATATTTGAGATACATATGATAGACAAGTGATGAAGTTGGTTCAACCACATACCTCCTCTACGAAGGGTATGGGCTTGGAGATGAAAATCGATACAGCAACCATTGGGAATTCTGACGCTTTTTTGCTCTAAAATTGAAACTTTTCTTATTGATTAGCCACAGTAACATCATTATCTTCTATATTTTTACATCGAAATTAAAGATTTTTGATGTCAAGATATAAGAAGCTAGTCTAGATTGTCATCGGAGTCGAAGGTCAGAAGAAAAGTGTTTTTGCTCGTTAACACTTTAAAAATTAGGAGTCTAGGCTTGGAAAGCAAAAAGTTCTCTATTATGAAATTCAAAAATAGATCTAATATCTTCATCATAATTTGTTTCAGCGTCATACAGTGAAATAAACAACGCAATCATCAAAATATTGTATTAGTACCACTCATCCATTATTGTACTCTGACCGATTCAAACTTCTCAGCAATGCAGGGCATTTCAATGGGATATGCTCAAGGAAACTTCTTGAAATTCTCACCGACAGCTCAATTTTGTGTTTCTTGCCGCAGAAAGTGCAACCAGTAGCAGCAGAAAAACGTCCGGGTACATAATTTGCCAAATAATTCAAATAATTCTTGCTTG